GAGTAATTCAATGCATTAAACAATTCTGTGCTGATAAATTTTAACTTTGAGGTGGCTCTGGAACTTGTTATGTAAAATACAATTTTATTATATTTTTTAATTGTGGAGGTCATCCCAGTGGTGCTAAGGGGTCAGTCTATACCTGGGTTCTAATGTAGGGTCTCACCTATGTATTTAATTCCCTGAGCTGCATCTCTAGCCTAAAAACAAGATCTATAGATTAAGTAAAAATGACACCAATCAGAGCCAGAGAGGTAATAATGCAGGTAGGAACTAGCTTTGCGTGCAGCCGACATGGGTTCAATTCCTAGTATTCCATATGGTTTCCCCCACACACACACCACCAAGAGTGATCCCTGTGTACAGAGCCAGGAGTAAGCCCTGACCATTGCCAGGTGTACCCACATCCCCCCCACCAAGCCAAAAGATTCCAATCAAGTACATTCTATTGTACTGTATTAACTTCCTCTGTAGCACTGTCCTCCCATTGTTCATCAATTTGCTCGAGCGACCCAGTAACATTTTGAAACTTGTTGTTACTGTTTTTGGCATATCAAATACGTCACGGGTAGCTTGCCACTGTATTAACTTAAATTTTTTTTACTCTTACTTCAAATTTTTATTTTCTAATAGTGATCTGTAATGGATTGTTATGTAGAATTCCATGATTGCAGACTACCTTCAAAATTGCTTAAGATCAAAATGTCTTGCCCTTGGTTCCCATTTTTTAAAATAAAATGACAGAACTGAAATAAATGCCCACCAGATTTAATAAATGTCCCAGTTTAACAGACTTCCATGTATTAGCAAAAAAAGTCTAATTAAATTTGTATTTAAAATAAATGGTTACACAATTTGGTTGTTTCTCAAAAATGAAACATAGAAGTACCATCACGGTCACTGTCCTCCCGTTGTTCATCGATTTGCTCGAGCGGGCCCAGTAACATCTCCATTGGAGACTTTGTTGTTACTGTGTTTGGCATATCGAATACATCACGGGTAGCTTGCCAGGCTCTGCCATGCGGCGAGATACTCTCAGTAGCTTGCTGGGCTCTCCAAGAGGGGCGGAGGAATCGAACTCGGGTTGGCCATATTGGCTGCGTGCAAGGCAAACGCCCTACCGCTGTGCTATCGCTCCAGCCCAGAAGTACCATATGACCAAGCAACTCCACCCTTAGCTACATACCAAAAGGAACCGAAAGCAGGAGCTAACGAGATACTCACCCCCCTCATTCCCCAACTGCAGCATCGTTCACAAAAGCCAAAATGTGGAAACAAGCCAAGTTTCCATCAACAGATGCAGAGATAGACAAAATGTGGAGATACAGGGAAAGATTCATCAATAAAAAGAAATGAAATAAAAATCCATACTACAATCTGATGAACCTTCAAATAAGTGCTAAGTGAAATAAGCCAGACATAAAAGGAAATAAAATATGATTTCACCTGCATGAAATATCTAGGCGAATTCATAGAGAAAGAGAGTCTAGGTTAAAAGGGGTTGGGATAAGAGAAGCATGGGAACTATTGTTTTATGGTTAGAGAGATTCTGTTAGGAGTGATAAAAGTTTGGGGAAAAGATAACAGTTTTAGATTAATAATTCTGGGGAATGGTTGCACATTTTATCTGATGTATACCTCAAATGAGTAAAATATTTTATATTTTACCTCCCCCGAAAGTTGTTTAACTTAACATCTATGTGCTAGAGTGATAGCACAGCGAGTAGGGTGTTTGCCTTGCATGCAGCTGACCTGGGTTTGATTCCTCTGCCCCTCTCTGGAGAGCCCGGCAAGCTACCGAGAGTGTCCGGCCCAAATGACAGAGCCTGGCAAGCTACCCGTGACGTATTCGATATGCCAAACACAGTAACAACAAGTCTCACAATGGAGACGTTATTGGTGCCTGTGCGAGCAAATCGATGAACAATGGGAGGACAGTGCTACAGTGTTACAATATCTATATTATTTATAGATTAGGAAGTTTATATGTGGTTTATACAATCCTAAACATTTCTGTAGCTTTAATTTTTATTTATTTATTCTTTATTTTGGTGTTTGAGCCACACCCAGCAGTACTCAGGGCTTACTCCTGGCTCTGAGCTCAAAGATAACTCCTGGTGGTGCTCAGAGAACACATGGGGTACCAGAGATCAAACAAGACAAATACCTTAACCCTTATACTATCTCTCCATCCCTTAATTTTAATTTTCTTAATTTATAAAGTAGGAATAACAAAAGTAGTCATCTATTTGTGAACTAGTAGAAGAATAACTCCCTTTAGTGAGAAAAAAATTAATTCCTTGTATGAGTAAAATTACTTGACTGACTTATAATTCTTCAAAGTGGAAACATGCCAGATCACCTCCAAGTCAGATGGGCTTCAAGCAATATAAGGATGAGTGAAAGTCTTAGCTGCTAGTTTTTCCAGGTGTACCAACCTATGGTAAGGCCATTCATATCTACCACAAAGATGGGTAAGTCAATAAAAAGCATGTTACAGGCCCAAAAAGATAGTACAGCAGGGTATAGCACTTGTCTTGCTATGCTATGCAACCAAGATTCAATCCCTGGCACCACACATTGTCCTCCGAGCACCTCCAGGAGTGATCCCTGAGCACAGAGCTAGGAGAAAGCTCTGAGCACCATAGGATTTGCCTTCTAGAAAGAAAAACTACATTACCAAGGGAAAGAACTTATCTGTTGGGGGCTACAGGCAATATGACTACAACTATGTAACATTCTAGAAAAGTCAATACTATAAAGAAAACGAAAGGTTGAGTGATTGTACAGGGTTTGAAGGAGGGAGGGATGAACAGGCAAAGCATTAAATATTAACAAAATGACATTGTGAATTATCTTCACCTGTACACATCCCATTGACAAAAGACGATTATAATATTTATGTCGATATAAGGCTATTTCTGAGAAAGTACCAAAATATTCCATCTTGGAAAAAGGGGTATAAGAGAACGGGTATTCTTGAATGTACAAATTATTTGTGTTGGCATCTATTTTAGTACTACCAACTATTGATATTTTGAATATTTTTCACGGGAAGCACTCATAGAAAAAGTACTGTACATTTATTAATTAATTTAGCCCACATACCAACTCCATGGTATAGGTTCTATTAATATCCTTATTTTACAAATGTGAAAACTGACTTGCAGAAATTAAGTGAAGTTGACTACAGCTAAAGTCAAGTTAAAAAGTGATAAAGTCAACAATTATACCCAGCTATTTTAATTTGGGACCTTTTTAGAAAAATTATGCACAATAGTACCAATATTATTATTTCATATGTGCAGTGATTTTTTTTATAAATGGAAACTTTATCACTGAGAAACAACCTATAGAAAGTCTTCACTGCTGGTACTATTAGAGTTTCTCTCATGAGTTACACAAAGGCATTTTAGCTCATGTCCCTAAGCAGAAAACAATAAGCAATAAGGTCTGCTTTAGGCAGATGGGACGTGGGTGGTCCAAGAGGCATTCGGGGAAGGGAGCCATGTCTTGGGGCAAAGAAATATTGGAAATGGGTTGAGCCCTGGTGACAGAGGAAGACTGGTGAGACAGAAGGTTTTACCACTTAAGAAGCAGCCTGGAAATTCAACTATGTTCCAACAAGTATTTTGATAGTGGAGCCTATTAGGATAAAGTGAGAGAATGGTTGGGCAGATATAACCCCATTATTGTCTTTGGCTACTAACACATCCCAATCCTTCATGCTCCATTAAAACTCAGTCTGTGGATGAACTAGGGAGTGTCAGTATGTCCATCAGTAACTTCTCCAGTTATTTCTGGATCCATACAGAATCAATTCTGGATCAATGTTCAATAATGGTCTGTTTGCTAGTCGCCTGTCTGAGCCTTCCGATAGAGCAAAAACAAATCTGTCATTTGAAATGCAAGCAATACTGTCCAGGCATTGTTTAAAGCAAATTCCGCCTTAAAACACCGGTCCTCTGAGTCTTATGAGTTTAGTTCATAAACCCCTGAGAGATGAGTCAGCTTTTGGCTTCCTGAAAAACATAAATAAGCTTGAGACAGAGCCAGAACTTGGTCCTATGCAATAAAATCTACCCTGGGAACCTGCCTTACTCGTCTTCCTGAACTACATAGTTCTGTTTGTTCTTTCAAAAACTATCCATCAGAAATGAAGCAAAAATCTAAAGGAAATAGGGGTCATTGTATTTACCAAATTTGCTGGTGCAGAAGAGAGAAGTGCTCATTTTTTCCCTAGCCTCGCCTTTAAGATTTTATTAGTCCCGACTTAAAGGTCAGCAATCAGAAGACATTATTTCCATGCTTTATTAGAGCTTATTTTATATACTCAATGAGACTCTCCTATTCCTATGAGTTCTGGGGGAAACAATTTTTCCCCTACTTGTCAGATACAGAAATAGACCTTCATTTCAGGAGAGATTAAAGTGATGATAGGAGGAAAAGGATTCCTCAATAAGATCAAAAGACAAAAAACAAAAATCCAATAGTGTCAGCATAAATAGAAAAGCCATATAAATGACCCCAAATCCGAAATTAGGAAGAAACTTGGTCCCATTCGTGGCAGATGGCATTAAAACAGTATCCTTACCATCACTGTGAAAATAAATGTTGTATCGAAAGAACAAATGCTAAATATTATAGGAAGTAATAAAAGTGTCTGGGCTGATTAATGTTCCGAGGTGGGTCTCCAGAGCTGGAAATCTGATGGTAACACTCATTTCTAAGGGTTACTTTCTTTTATAAGAATCTCTCTCACAGAAGCCAAATTTAAAAAGACAAAACAGCCAACATAAGAACGTTTCCCTTCTTGCTGTTGTGCATTTATTTCTCCTGGCTGGAAAAGTTGAGGACTGATTTGCGACCACTGTTTTCCCCTTTGAGGGTGCTCTTGGAGCCTTGTAGATGCCCCACGGCTACCATCCTGCTTCCAAGGGATATAAGGAGTATGTGCAGAGGGCCACACTCAGCAGAGAGTTAGTGGGGAGGGGTCATACCTCGTTCAAATTTTAACCGCTGATAGAGCTGAAACTGGTCCACAGGCATCAGGCAGGAAATCTGAAAGCAGAGAGAGAAAGGTGAGGTTGTGCCCACCACAGGACCAAGGGCACAGTCCTGTATGATCTCTCCCCAACAGGCTGCCAGGATTCTCTCGGGGCCATCTGTTTGCAAACTTTCTTTTCTCCACACTGTGCGTGCAGTAGACCTCCCCGCAGTGCTCAGACCACCCCCAATCCTGGTCGTAGTAGGAGCCGCCATCACTCAAGACACAGAAACTCATCACCTGCCATAATGCTAGCAGTATCTAGACAACCATGTGGATCTATATCTGTATACAGATAGGAAAGCGTGCTCTCCCTCCCTCCCTCCCTCCCTCCCTCCCTCCTTCCTTTTCTCCCTGCCTCTCTCTCTATCTGTCTGTCTGTCTGTCTGTCTTATCTCTGTCCTCTGTCTCTTTTTGTCTCTCTTTCTCTCACACACACAAATCATTGGAGAATTTTTTAGAGTATTTTCTTACTTTAGAATCTTTGAAATATCAGATCAATTAGCACAGCGGTAGGGCGTTTGCCTTACAAGTGGCCAACATGGTCGACCCAAGTTGGATTCCTCTGCCCCTCTCGGAGAGCCCGGCAAGCTACCGAGAGTATCTCGCCCGCACGGCAGAGCCTGGCAAGCTACCCGTGATGTATTCGATATGCCAAACACAGTAACAACAAGTCTCATGATGGAGACATTACTGGGCCCGCTCGAGCAAATTGATGAACAACGGGAGGACCATGACCGTGACTGTGAAATAGCACCCAGGAATGACTTTTTTTTTTAAATCATACCCATTTATGGAGTAGGACCTCCCAGATTACAAAAGGATCATCTCTCCCAAACAACAACAACAACAACAACAACAAAACACTTCCATGGACTCTGGTTTACCAGGCATTGCCATGCATGCCCCCTACAGAAAAGAAAAGCGTGAGATACTTCTTGTGACCAGACAGACTCACATTTTAATTTCTGATGGCAATATGAAACCAAAGATTTACTAGTAAACAACCATGATTCAGATCAAACCAAATGACATTTTGGATTAATCTTTTTTTAACTGAATTTCCTAGGCGGCTGCAGGAAAAGCTAACTGCTCTTCCACAGGCATTCTAAAAATAATAATTCCATTGACGTCAACATGCAAGTATATTGACATTGCTTACAAGATTTACAACTAAGAAAATCAAAGGATCTGACATTAGGCTTCTAGATGTTTGGCAAGTTGATACAGAACATAGGCTTGGTTACGCCAATTCTGAAGCATTCTATAGTCTTGGAGTGAAAGATATCTAGGTGGAAGTAACTGCCTACAACCCATAGAAGTTACTTGAGAAAAGTGGATTTTCCCAAAAGAGCAAAAGCAACTGGTGTTGGCAACTGGTGTGGCGAGAAAGGGACCCTCCTTCACTGCTAGTGGGGATGCTGACTGGTTCAGCCCTTTCGGAAAACAGTATGAATGATTCTCAAAAAATTAGAAATTGAGCTCCCATTTGACCCAGCAATACCACTCCTGGGAATATATCTCAGAGAGGCAAAATAATATAGTCCAAGTGACATCTGCACTTGTTTGTTCATTTCAGCACTGTTTACAATAGCCAGAATCTGGAAAAAACCTGAGTGCCGGAGAACAGATGACTAGTTAAAGAAACTTTGGTACATTTACACAATGGAGTACTATGTAGCTGTTAGAGAAGATGAAGTCATGAAATTTACATACAAGTGGTACTACATGGAAAGTATCATGTTAAGGGAAATGAGTTAGAAAGAGTGGGATAGACATAGAAAGATTGCATTCATCTGGGGAACATAACGTAACAAAATAGGAGAATAACACTCAAGAGTGGACGAGATTAGTACCAGGAATTTTGCTCCATGGCTTGGAGACCAGCCACACATGCTAGGGGAAAAGGGAGCTCAGATAGAGAAGGGAGCACCAAATAAAGGGTGTTGGGAGGATCCTCCCAGGATGGGAGAAGCATGCTGAAAGTAGACTATAGACCAAACATGATTGCCACTCAATGCCTCTTTTGCAAACCACAGCACCCAAAAGGAGAGAGAAAACAAAAGAGAATGCCCCACCACAGGGATGGGGTGGGATGGAGGGGATGGCGGGGGAGGGATACTGGGAGCATTGAAGGTGGAGAATGGGCACTGGTAGAGAGATGGTACTCAATCATGAAGCATGCTGAAAGTAGACTATAGACCAAACATGATTGCCACTCAATGCCTCTTTTGCAAACCACAACACCCAAAAGGAGAGAGAGAACAAAAGGGAATGCCCTGCCACAGAGGCAGGGTGGGATGGGGGGTGGGGGATGGGGTGTGGGAGGGATACTGGGACCCGTAGTGGTGGAAAATGGGCACTGGTGGAGGGATGGGTACTTGATCATTGTATAACTGAAACCCAAGCACAAAAATTTGTAAGTCTACAAATGTACCTCATGGTGTTTCACTAATAAAAATTTTTTAAAAAGAAAAGTGGACTTTAATAACAAGGCAGTAAAATCATACTGAAAAATATATTTCATGGTAGAGGGAGAGGGAAAATCTTAGTAAGGGGAATTTTGTATACACAGCAATATTACATATCACAGGGACTTAAAATTTTGAAGAAAACCTGGAAAAATTATATGTGTATGTAGCTCATTTGAGGAGTAGGAAGATAGTTCAAGTGGCAGAGCACATGTCTAGCATGTGTGAGGCCCTGAGTTTGATTCCCAGCACTGCAGGGTTCCCCAAGCACCCGTGAGGGTGGCCCTGGCTAGACCAGAGGACCCGAGCACCACACAAACCAAGCACCACACGCAAACACACACACACACACACACACACAACACACACACACACATACATACAAAGAATTTGCCGATTTTGCAGATGAATAAATTGTCTAAAATGTAGTAAGAACACCAGGCAGTTTCAGTCTTCTTCATTCCAGATGAAGCACAAAAAGACATAAGTTTGATCAGGCATCTTGCAGAAGAGCTCTTTAGAGAAGAAAAGAACTCAGGGGGGAAGAAGAGACAGACCGGAAGCAAAGAGAAACAGGCCATGGGGGATCCAAATACATCGGTGGTGTAGAGAAGTGGTCAACAAGACTGAAAATGTGAGATTCAAACCCCGAGAGCCAAAGTTAAAAATGTGCCTGTCATGGAGCTGGAGTGATAGCACAGCAGGCAGGGCGTTTGCCTTGTATGCGACCAATCCGGGTTCGAATCCCACCATCCCATATGGTCCCCTGAGCACTTCCAGGAAGCCAGGAGTAACCCCTGAGCATCGCCGGGTGTGACCCAAAAAACAAAAAGAAAATAAAAAAATAAAAAATAGTGCCTGTCAGGGCTGGAGAAATAGTACGGCAGGTAGGGCATTCGCCTTGCACGCAGCCAACCCGGGTTCGATTCCCAGCACCCCATATGATCCCCTGAACATTGCTGGGAGTAATTCCTGAGTGCAGAGCCAGGAGTAACCCCTGTGCATTGCCGGGAGTGACCAAAAAGCAAATAAATAAATAAACAAAAATAAAATAAAAATGTGTCTGTTATGGAGGTCAGCTGGGAGTTGCGGTGGCGGAAAGGAACCTGGAGACCCTGGAGGAGGGAAGGAGCCACTGGTGGTGTGATTGGAGCTGGAACACAGCAAGTCTCAAACCCAACAATGAACAACTTTGTAAATCACAGTTTTTAATAAAATTAAAAGAAATGTAAAGCTCCTTAGATATATATATATATATATATATATATATATATATATGTAGGCTTCTATTATATTGAAAGTCAGCTTTGTTTCATCTGATAATATACGAACTTAACATCTTTTCTGAGGGATGAAACTGTCATCAATACAATGCAGGGGTGAGAGAAGGGGGCAGGCAGGTGTCAGCAATCATCACACCTCTGTTCCTGCCACTGAGTCACTGCAGGTGGAGGGCAAGTAACCGAGATTACCTCAGTGTGAGACTAAGATTGGAGTGGCGATACCATCTAGGACAGAGAGACCTCAGAGATATTTTAGAAATCTGCTTTTAACACACCTGCCCACCAGTTATTTGAGATCTCTGATTCTAGGGGAGAATTCTGCACTCCTGTCACCCCCATTAAAAACACTCTCAGGGGTACCGACACAGAATGATGGCACTCATTTGTGAAATATAAAATATCATAATATGAGGCTGATACCCAAGGACAGTAGAGACAAGGGCCAGGAAGATTGCTCCATGGTTGGAAGCCTGCCTCATGAGCTTGGGGGCGAATTCAGCTGGGATAGAGAAGGGTAGCTAAGTCGATGATGGTTGGGGGGATCACTCGGGAGGGAGATGTGTGCTGAAAGTAGATAAAAAACCAAACATTGCCTCTCATTATCTGTATTGCAAACCGTAATGCCCAAAAGTAGAGAGAGAGTAGAGGGGAAATTGTCTGTCATAGAGACAGGGGGAAGGTGGGACGGGGGTGAGGGGTGTGGGGAGGGATACTGGGGACATTGATGGTGGAAAATATACGCTGGTAGAGGGATGGGTGTTCAATCATTGCATGAACTGATACTCAAACATGAAAGCTTTGTAACTGTATCTCACAGTGATTCAATAAAAAAATTAAAAATTAAAAAATAAAACACTCGGAACTGAGGTGAACCTGCTTCCAGCTCCCCCACCCCCCGGCCGGGTCAGCCCTTAAAAACTGTTGTCTTTGCCATGTCAAGCAATTCATCTGACAGCGAGGCCAAGCACAGTTTACGGAAGGTAAAACCAACAGATGAGATGTGATCGACGTGGATGATACACTAGTGAGAGCCAGGACAGGGATTAATGCAGAGCCTGGGGCTGGAGACAGAGGGTGGAGCTCATGAGCCCTAGATTCCAGCCCATTACCACCCTCCAAAGCACATGAAGACTGGCAGAAATTTATGCAGCAAAAAGCCAGCAACAGTAGAGACAGGTTTCATTTTTAATTAAAAAGTTAAATGCTATCAGAGAGTTAAAGATCAGTTTTATTTCAGCCCACAGGGTAGTCATAGATCAT